ATGGTATTCAATTAGGTCGATGTTTAGTTCTTATCAGAACAAAAATCTTTGAATTTAAAATAAATATACGCAGAAATCACTCTCAAATAAAATTTTTTTCATTAAACCCGATGAAAGGAGCACAATGTCAAAGTTTATCTAGCAGCAGTTTTTCTTTGGTTCTATATGTACAAGTAAATATCCCAAATAGCTACGGCTACCTGAAACTCTAATAGATTGAAAGAACTAGCGCCGAAACGAATCATACACACTGTGTAACTCTTAAGGAATTTGCGTAAGAAAGAGGTAACCGACCGTGTACGTGTACGTGTACACAAAAGTTTCGGTTAGAATTGTCGATTGGGCCTTAAGAAACTTTAACAGAAATATCTGGTAGCGCTGTGGAGTAATTAACCGGTGAGTGATTTGCAAGGATAATTCTCAAAAATGTTTATGAACTCTCTACAAACTTAGTATCTCGAGAATAGAAGAACATTTTATTCGCATGATCAATGCTTGTGCATTTTGGAATGAATTTTGTTTATTTTCCGAAACGTGATTAAGTTCAAAACTAATAGAAGGCACGATTGACAGAGCAACGTCGTAAGTTAAACACATTTGTTTTTGTTTCTATGTTACCTCCATACATTCTATAGCGTATGGCTACTTTCTATATTTTATAATGTTATATGTTTTTAATAATTTAAATAACGGTCATATTGTATTTCTCATGTTTGCTTGTTTGTGTGTWATATGATATTTCTATGAAAATAATTACATTTTTAGAAGTTTGTAAAATATTTTAGTAGAAACTTTGCTGGCCAACTCATAAACCAAAGCAATGCACGAAGAAGTGATGATCATGCTGCTCCATGATACCTTGGGCTAATGGGTTGAAATGTTAATTGTAGTTTCCAAGTTAATTATTTCAATATATTGAGTTTCGCGTGGTCGCGACATGCTGGATTATGCTCAGGAACAAGTATTGTGTTCTTATTCGTAATGGCCTATTCACATAGAATTTTCCCCGCTTTGACAATTCATACATTATAACAAAGCAAAGGTTATTCCTTTCGATGCTACTCGTTACTAAAATTGGCGACTGTTGCTTGGCAAAGCGTAAAAAAATGAGAGTTGCCGATTTTATGAGGTATCATTTTGTACTCATACAAATGCGTACATCGAACTTTTCTGTCAAAATACATGTCTAAAGTAAAGCGAAGCCAAAGTTCCATGTGAATTGAACAGAACGCTCAGTGTTCAAAGGCAAACGAAAATTAGGCAGAGTTTAGACGGAGTGCTCAACATTAAAAATATTTCTAACAAAAGCTTCGTGTGTAAACGCGGCCCAACGCAGACAAATGTGGAAACATTTACATGAGTGTTCATATTTTTATTATTAAAAATATGGCAATACTATTTTTACTTTTGGGTATACTGTTTTGAATACACCCTGTTGGTGCTAAAAATTCTTTTTAAAGCAGGTCCTTTGCAATTAAGTGAGAAATAATTCCTTATGCGCAGTATTACATTTGTCTAAAATCATTTATTGTTTTAGAGCTTTAATAATCAAGGTTAGT